CTCCGTCCAAAACGAACAAGCCTCTCCGGTTCTTGCGGACGGCCCTCGCAACGCTGGCCAATAGCGACCGCAATGTTTACAGAAAAAACAAAAAAAACTAGAATCCATTTGCTTCCCTTATTTTTTGCCTCTCCCTTCCCGGCGCGTCAGCGATGCGGTCGCGCCTCGGCGCGGTGCTTGCGGTTTGTTTAGGCACCAGAACCCCGCAGCGGAGCACCGCCGCGGAAGAAATGAAGACCAAGACAACCTCGCCTCTCGGAACTTTTTTGCAGAGCGCCAGGCGCGGGAAGCAAAACAGACTGCCCGCAGATCGACTGACGAATCTGCACAAGCGTTTCGTTACCGCCATCCAGTGGGTGCCGCCCGCCGCGGTGGCGTCCGAAAGTATCCGGGCCCCGGGGGAGGGGGGCTTCAAATTTGCCTGGAGGCGGAACGCCGCAAGCATTTCGCGCGCCAAAGCGACAAAGCCTATTGGACACAACGGCCCCGCCAGGTCCTCAGTGGGCGCGGTGGGAGAGCTGCCGCCCCGGCCTGCCACACCTCGCCGCGCAAGCGCCTGGGCCGCCTCTCCCTGGCGCCGACCCCCTCAAGGCGACTGCCCTGCGCGTGCCTCCGCCTGCTTTCCCTACCGTATGCGCGGGGAGCCTTTACGACACCCCCAGGCACCGACCCATATTGCTCACTTTGCGAGTGTTGTTTGGCGTTGCCCGCCGCAAGGGCAGCGCAATCGCGACGCCAAACAACACTCGCAAAGTGAGCAACATGGGCCGGTGCCTGGTGCAAAACTCTTTGGTGCGGCCTTAACCGGCGTGGGCTTCAAATTGGCAAATGACCCAATGCAGGCCACGCGCCTCAGTGGTCGCACAAGTGGGGCGTCGAAGCACACCGCGCGCCCATTTCTGATGGGATATGTCCTCAGCGTGCTGCTCCGCGGTGGCGACGTGATTGCCCCATGCACGGTCTCTGCGCGCCTCCGCGGCCCGGAAGCAAGCCATTGCGACAGCAGCGAGGCGTTTCGTGGCCTAAGTGTGTCTACGGGGGGGCGCCGCCCGTCCGTTTGGAAGCCCACCTTCCCCCCACCGCGGAAGATGCTTTAGCCCCGCGCGCTCTCGCAACACGAACGCCATGCCATGC